CCTTTTAATTATGTTTGAAATTATGAACATTGCTCAACATCATGAAAATTAAACCTTATTTTCAATAAGCAATCCTGAAAATATTTGGGGGTGCTTAACTTTTTTCCAGGTGTATAGTTGGGAACCACAAGTTCTCTATACCATCCTTTAGTTTAGTAGAAAATGGAGTTTGTTGCACAACCATATTTCATATTAGTGACAGAAACTAATCAAAAGTTTAGAAAATCTGACTACATCAAGTAGCTGATAAGAAACTACAACAGAAAAATGAATAAAGGTAGAAAATTTACAAAACAAACACAATCTGGATCAAAATTGCAATGGAATCATAACATATCAAAGGAGTACCCAATCCCCTATGGCTAAGTGAAAATAATTTTGGGATTTTCTGTTCCCAAACCACATAAGCAACAATGAGCAAAATCATTCAAGAATCAGATCTTCGGTAATATGCAGTGCAAAATAAATGTGTAAATTGCAAAACTATTTCTGGTTTTGAACATAACCTACAACTTAAATTAGGTAGAGTATTAACACAGAATTCTTAACCAATCTAAGAAACTGCTGCATGTATATTGTGGATAATATAATTCACACTATAACCATAAATATAATAATTAACATGGAAAATCTGTTAGTGTTATTACAACAAGACTTTAGAAAGAGAGTATTTTTGTTGTTTTTTTTTCTTGGAAAACGTAAAAGTACTAAAACTAAAAGTGCTCTTACTCTTCTTAGTCTTACTCTCAACTAAAGTCTAACGATTAAAATGGCATTTGTTAAGCTTGACTGGGAAAATTTGCATAACTTCTAAGCAGTATTAATCAAATATTATTTTTGAAAATTTTCAGTGCGTTGTGTAAAATATAACTCGTGTAACTTGTGCAAGATGTAACCACAACAATGGAAAATAAGCGAATCTTAGTCGTCACGTTATCTTAACAATAAAATTACTCGTTGCTTTTTAGGCTTAACTTCGACCTTAAGCGTAAAACAGAAGCTAAGTAAAAGGAGTAGCTAATTCTCTTTCTACGTGAAAAAATTAAAATATTTCAAATATCTATTTCTTAATCTATTCATATCATTATTTATTAAATTGTGATATCAAATGTATATTTATTGCGCTAAATAGCTTACCAATTTACATACACCAAATGACAGCCACTCTACTACGAGTAACACTGTAACAACACAAAAAAAGGACAATCGCCGCCGTTTGTGAAAATTTGCCATCTCGTGTATTAAAATATTCACATAAATGCTGATAAATATTATATATAGTAATTAGCTATAAAAATAATTGAGTTGCAGCGTTACCGAATCAAACAAGGCGTTCCGTAGGGAAAATAACAAAAAGGCACTTTTGAGCTAGGTAATAATTGTTTTAACATGTAGCAATGTCGATTACAGGCATATAAAAAAATTATATTCGTAGAAACATATGACGATCTTTAACTTTGCTTTAATATTTGTATCTCATAAAAAAAAAAATTAAAGATCCCAAATTTCGTTCTATCTTACATTTTTGAGATACCTTAATTATGTCTAATTATTTAACATAACACGCAGACAACAAATGGCCATTTGGCTCACTCACACTTTATTTTTTTAAAATTAGAAATTCCCCTTTTTATCTGTTGTAAAGAGCCGACTCCCACAACTGCTGACGGCAACTCATTCCATAAAACAATCACCCTGTTAGAAAAATAAACTTAACTGGCGCCTAGCTTTGGCCTGTCTTATCCGAATCTTAAGCATGTGCGCTCTTGTTCTAATATGTTCATAATACAGGAAAAATATATCACAGGCCCTTTATCCCATTGTGGTAACGATGCTCTTTCATTAGGTAGGTTCTTTCAAATAATTTGGGGAAATTAGGCTAAGTCTAGTTCGTTTAATAGTTTATTTCTTCCTTCACTATTTTACATACTTAAACACTGTGGTGACTTTTAAGCCACGGTTACAAATAACGCTGACTGCACATCATTAACGTAAAAATCAAATTATTTGAACAAAATAACTCAATATTCGATGTACCTAAACACAGTTCCAAAAATACAAATACTGACTAATTTACTCAACTGACGAGAAAACAACTCTCTCAGCTCTTTTGTTACGTATCCTTTTTAACAACCTTTCTTTCATTCTTCAATGAACCCCGTATATATAATCTACCATCAAATTTACTATAAAACTCTGTTGTCAAATCTTTTATAATTTTCTAGGTGTTCTAGGCCTATTTTAATGGCATCATCATAACCCACAACTCCCTAAACGCCTAAACTGCATCATTAAAAATATAGCTTACAACACTGCCCCTTCCTGAATAGTGAAATCTCTTGAACAATCCTAATACAAAGATAAAACAGAACACTAACCTGTCCATTCACCAAGACTTTCTCGTGTTTTTCTCTTCCGAGACCAATGGTATGGAATAGTCCCTTATCCCTTGTTGTCATTAGGAGAATCCTTACTAGATAGTGGCCAAGTGAATCCATAAGTAGCTCCTTCTTAGTTTACCTTCTGGAAGCAGTCTCGACAAGAACTAATGACTCCTCAACAGATTTACACTACCAATTTTTTTCCAAAATTACCCAGTTGGCTGTAATCTTACCAAAGTACTTCAAAAGATAATCTTCGTAGAATATTTTTACTTGGATTGCCTATTCTTTTGAATTCTGTAGTCTACATCCTTGATTCTCTTTAGTACAATACATGACCCTTCCAAACCTTACTTAACTTTGGAGTTTGTCCTCTCTTGATACGATAAATGTTTAGCCATGCCATATCAACTTGATGAAATCTAATTTTATCAGTATTAACACCATAGCAACCTTTCGTTTTATCACAAGCTAATTTAAGTCTTTCCCTAAAAAAGTCATGTACAATATATTTATTCTTCACATCTATGAGAGCTCTTCCAACAATTAATTCCTCGGAACATGCCTTAGTATTTGTTTCCATTATGTCTCAGTAACTAGATGAAGAATTATTACTAATAACTTCTGGTATGAGTATTTCCTCTTTTTTTTTAATGCAATGATCACCATCGCTGCTTCACTGGAAGTTCAACCTCTGGTGTAGTGATTGTCATGTAGTGCATAGGGATTTCCTAATCATAGACGGAATAGCTATTTGAAGCTAGCTTATCCTCGCATCAATGTTTCAACATGAAGACAATTCCCAATACACACTTTTCCTTGATGTCAATTACCTACACATCACGAGGCATAAAGAAGCTTCTTACAGTAAGGGTAACTTCTAGCTTTCCTCTTCTGGAACATTATGTCCACTTAGTGTTCCCCTCACCCCCTCTTTATTCTTTATTCCTGGATTCACCTTTCATTAACAAATTACGTCAACCAATTGTAGTTGCGGAAATAGTGTTGGTCAACATACTTCAAGGTTTTCCACCAACAAGTGGACCCATGGGCGATTTTTCTAAAAAAATGGACATATTTTCTCACTTGGGCTAGATGGAGTATTCACAGCTGAACTTTGTCCCATAAGATCTGTTAGTTCCTGTCTTTTTATGTCTTATATCTATATAAGCCATTTATTATAATAACTGTTATCATAAGAAAAAATATTATTTTTATTGTTGGCTGGAAAGAAGTTTAACATTAGGTTATGAGTATAATGCCTAATTCATGAAATGTTCTTCAAAGATTTATAACAGTTTGAGACGTTCAAAATGCAAACTGGACAGCAATAGATGGATCATTGAGCTAGTCCAGTTAGTCAGTGAACTTAGTAAAGTGAATGAATTGGTAAGAGCATATTTGTCAGCCAGCGAATAAGTCTATTACTTGCCTAAGTCATTGTGGAGTTATTTGGTTTATTTTCTAAATTTTCAGTTCTGTTTATGATACAGTAACTGAGATACAAGAAGTATAGTACATACAAGAAAAGCAGCAACTGAATGAAATTATTAAGTGAGGTCTATCACTCAATGAATATCAGTTGCATAGAAACTGTAGAACTCATAAAGCCTGTAGTTGAAGAAATAAAATATTTTTGTTATCATTACTTGGGCTAAACCTTGCACTCAAGAATTCTTCCAAATGATACAAACAAACTCACACAACAATTAAAATCATTACAAGCAGAGCCTGCTTTAAGACAAGCAAGGCAACTGTAAAGAACCTCTCTATATGGGAAATTTGTACATATACATTTTTATGAGTGATTCTTAAAGATGAAATTCTAAAACCCAAAACCACATGGTCTACCCATCAATGAATGTGCCACAGTGTTCTGATGTACAATATTCATCACATTTTTTCAAATGACAAATACTATAAAGATCCTCAAACTTTTCACAGTCGTTATGACCAGCTGTGATTTCAACACTGGTGTCTAAAGTGGGATTATTTTGGTAACTCCAAGATGAGACATGTGCTTAAATCAGTATTAGCAATTTAACAACGAAACATTAGAAGGAAGATCAAGAAGAATGAAACAGAAAATTAAAAGAAGATCAATGGAGAGAGGCAAAATTTAAGAAAGGAATTACTAGAATGAGACACAAGATGTACAAACACAAATTAGTTTGATGTAAGACAAGGTCAAAATGTCATAGGAAGTGTACAATAGGATATCAGTAAAATGATAAAAGAGGTACAAAAGGACATTCATAAACTACAGAAGAAGTGTAAAAAGCAAGGTTAATGAAGTGCAAAAGGACATCAGCAAGGTACAAAATAACTTCAACAACATGATAAAACATCTGGAAGGTGAACTGGCAAATGCTTGGAACAAAACAACCATACTTTGTGGCATATAGCTATGTACCTAAAATGTCTTACCTTCTTTAATTGGTAAGTGAATGCTCCAAGCATTCACTTAGAATGTTTAAAACTTTTTATGCATGCATGTTTTTGTTTAAACAACAAAACGTTGGTTAAGGAATTTGGTCAAATTCCTTTCATTTTAGCTACTTATTATTCTGGATCATTACCCTATCTTTTAAAATTTTCTTTGGAAAAACTGCTGTAATGAATGTACTATGCAAAGGCAGACAGTGATCCTTTCCAGTGATAGGTCAGGTGCTTTATCAAATATATAAACTGTCCTCATTTTTCTACTGAAATGACCACCAATGACATTGGAGTACATTGAGAGGGAGGCATTATAAATATTTTATGTATTACTTTGCTCTCTTACCTTAGAATTCTATTACATTTTCATCTTCCTAATAAGCTCAAAAACACCAATAATATATTTGATCTCCAGTCAAAGCGCTGTATGCTTTCCAGTACAGTCGTAACTTCGTTGTTTTTGTGATTGAAGATAGATTTCCACTTTGTTCACAATGTGTCCAATCTTTTTCATACTTCAAAAGCAATAAAAATCAAAATTCAAATTTATTTCATAATAAATTTTTTGATCAAACCTCTAGACACTTGCAGGCAAATACTACATGCAAGTTAAATCAATGTCTCTTAAAATACTCCAATTTTTTTTCAATTACTCAAGAATTCCAACATCGAACATCATTAACTATGCCATGGAAACAGGAGAACCTATCTGATATGCACTTGTTATCATAGATGCTGTGCTATTTATGACTGCAGGACGTTCTTGTACTTCTCCATCTACCTTACTAAGTTGTGAAATTTAGCAGACCAGTTCAACAACATCATACAGTCAAGTAACCAACAGATCATGACCGAAAACTACTATACGAATGATTCAGGTGCAATTTGAAATAATTTCCAAGGTAAATAGATGGAATAACGATAAGCTAACTGTTCATACACGAAGTCTACGTATCGTGTAGACTATCTCTAGGGGTTCATTTTGTCTTCGTCTTGAACTTGTGTTGCATGAGGTTTTTCTTGTATAATCTATCTGTATCCTGGCACAGTAGATCTTGTACCTCTTTCTTTTGCTTACCAGTCAGTTTTCCACTGATGTTGATGTCTTTGTACATCTCAACTCCACCAAGCATCCTTAGTTCTAGTAGGTCTTCAACCTCTATGAAAAACTCGCCATCTTTTGGTTCTGTACTTATAACAGCTACATCTGTCTTATCCATCTGTGCCTCATTAGCTGCATCATTAAGTCTTCTTCCCTCTCAAAGTACTTCTTTAACAAATTGGTGTGGTAGCTCTTGGTCTTACCATCCACTTTTACTTTATAATTCATTCTGTTGACCACTTTCTGCACTTCAAAAGGTCCTTTCCACTGCAGGGTGAGTTTGTTTTTGTCTGTGGGT